ATATACAGTGGGGGAAATAAGTATTTAACCCCTTGCTGATTTTGCAGGTTTGCCCACTTACAAAGAATGCTTATTTTTCCTCATCAGATGGTTATCAATTTTTATAAATGATGTGATTTTCTGGAATTTTCTTTGGGATTCTGTCTTTCACTGTTAGAATGTACATATGATTAAAGTTATAGATCGTTGCATTCTTTGTAAGTGGGCAAACCTGCAAAATCAGCAAGGGGTCAAATACTTATTTCCCCCACTGTATGAACATCCATCCATTATTTCATCCATCCATCCATTATCGTTACTGCTTATTCCCTAATGGGGTCTAGGGGGGGTGGAGCCTATCTCAGTAGCCAATGGGGAGAGGCGGGGTCACCCTTGAGGGTCCCCAGTCCATCACAGGGACACACAGAGACACACAAGGACCCACAACCACACACACTCACACTAAGGGCAGTTTGGAGTCCAACAACCTAACATGCAGGTTTTTGGACGGTGGGAGGAAGCCGGAGAACCCGGAGAGAACCCACAGACACAGGAGAACATGCAGAACCACCCAGAAAGGTCCTGGTTCCCCGGGGACTCCAACCCAGAACCCTCTGGTCCTGGTTCCCCCGGGGACTTCAACCCAGAACCCTCTGGTCCTGGTTCCCCCGGGGACTCCAACCCAGAACCCTCTGGTCCTGGTTCCCCCGGGACTCCAACCCAGAACCCTCTGGTCCTGGTTCCCCCGGGGACTCTGACCCAGAACCCTCTGGTCCTGGTTCCCCCGGGGACTCCAACCCAGAACCCTCTGGTCCTGGTTCCCCCGGGGACTATAGACAATTTAAACGATTATTTATTTCGTTTTCAGTCCACTTCTTTGGATCCTGGATGTCCATATGAAGATGGAGGAAGACTTATTTGGCAGAATAATCATTGTTTTGTGCGTTAACTTATCTGTTCAGGACACCTCGACCATCCCTAGAAAACATGATGGCATTGAAAAACTCCTATAGATCCCATAGACGATGCCTCTAATCGTTGGGCCATCAGGCTAATTCACAGCATTTGACGAGACGGGCAGCTTACTGTCGCCTTTAATAGAGGTGATAAGGACAACGTGTCCTCATTGTTTAGTCCATTAGTTGCTGCTCTGATGGGAGACACATAAAGTTAGTGAACACACAGTGATCCTGCTTTTCCAGGGCTCAAATACAACACGTTTCTACTGAAAAAGTCATTTTAAAAATGGACCGGTTGCTAAATAAACATCTTTTTGACTGGATTTCTGAACCAGCTATGAAGGAATGTAACATAATGACTATTAATTATTTGACTCTTTATGCTATCAGACATATATATATATCCCTTTATACAGTTAGTAAGCTATATTTCCAGTAATTTATACAGTTAGTAAGCTATATTTCCACTAATGTATACAGTTAGTAAGCTATATTTCAAGTAATTTAGACAGTTAGTAAGCTATGTTTACAGTAATTTATACAGTTATTAAGATATATTTCCAGTAATTTATACAGTTAGTAAGCTATATTTCCAGTAATTTAGACACGTACTTTCCTTTTAGTTCTCGTTTTTGTTGCCATATGCAGATTAAGTTAGTGTCAGTGTGTCTATGGACACAAAGAGCTCTTTTTAGAGCCTGGGCGTGGTTGTAAAGATGTGTGTGTGGGACGTTTTGCAGCACTGCGTTAATCATCCGTGTCCGAACGCCTCTCTGAGCTTTTGCTTCGAGAGCAGCTTTGATCAAAAGTGAGAGGTGAGTGAGAGGAAAGGAGCTGTATTCCCTCAAAGAGATATTCATTTATTTATTTATTTATGCAAAGTACCGATCGATTAGCTGAAAGTTAGCTTGAACTGGAGAAGTCAGACAGTTAGCAAAGGTTAAAGAACAATCACAACAGCAGCACTGGGCTACGAACTATTTTAATTATTAGCCTCTCTCCTTCAAAAAACAGATTTTTATCCACCTTGACCACAGTTAAATGCAGAGCAAAGTAAAGCTAACGCACTAGCAACATGGCTCACACAAATCTCTGCAAAAGGCCCGAGAAAAAAGTATTAAAGTATTTCTGATTCTGATTCTGAAAAGGCCTTTAAACTGCTTCGTCCAAACTGGGTTTGAAGGCGTTACTTAAAAGTTCAGAATGGTATTTAAATACTATTTAAATCTCGTGCTTTCAGGTCACACCAGTCAAATTCTCCCACTTTTCATCATTCAAAGCTGCATTCAGATTCAAAACATCCCTCCCAGACATTCAGATAATGGATGCAACTACAGACACAGTAAACAGGAAAGTGAGAATTATA